GCGATGCTAAGACATGCCTTCTTAAATGTCATGCGAAGCTTTTCATAAAATATACAATAGTAAAAGTCGTGCATGGTATGACCTACATAAAAAATGCATACATGAAACACCCTGAATTTTTATTTTCAAAACTTTTAAATTTTTATTAAATCAAAAATCGCAAATTTTGGCCGTGTGGGTTGCAATTGTAACATAGTCCCAATTCGAGCCCAAATTTTCGAATTGGGCCTAAGCCCAAAACAGTTCATTCGGGAATTTTCGATTTGAGGACAGTTTAAAATTTTCCGAGAATAACGTGAAACACACCAGGAATTAATCTATTATATATATTATATATATTGAATTAATTATTCTAAAATTAAAAAATCATTACTATTAATACTTGTATTATTTAAGTAAGTGGAGGAAAGGTTGCAAAACCATAATAAAAATAATTAAAATAAATCAAACCGGACCTGGAAATTTAATCGATTTTTATCGAAAACCACACGATATAGGAAAACTCGAAAACCGAACAATGAGATCAGATCACTAATGCCGAACGCGGTTCGAGATCCGACCGGATGGCCCAGCCCACTTCCTCCTTCCTTTTCTTTTTCCTTTCTTTTCTCTCCTTCTTTTTTCCCTTCTTCTTCCTCCGCGCCGCAGTCTCTCTCTCTCTCCTTCGCGTTTTCCCGGCCACCCGCTCAACAAGATGAAGGCGGCAGATCGGTTCTTCGGTTCTTCTGGCGATGCTGGTCACATTTCCAACCTCCCCTCGCTCCGATTGGACCTCCAGCGGCGCGAATCGAGACCATCTCCTCCGACAGTCATACCCTTTGACCTCCGGCGACTTCTCGCCATTTCCGACGGGCTCAAGGTGAACTTAAGGTCTCGATCGACTCCTCTCCTCCACGTGAACAATTCCCCTCCATTGATTTGTGATCTTGCTTGAGTTTTGACAACCCACCATGGATGGCGGCTTGAAGGTGGCTGTGGAGGTCGATCCGGCCAAACGAGCCACTGCCTCATCATCATCAAACCGATGGTAGATTTGGACTCCTCGCGAAAATTGGAGTCAGGTGGTGGTGACCTTGCAATTTTCTGGGCGGTTTAGCTTTTCCGGCCACCGTGCATGGCGGCCGGCCGGCGGCGGTCCGGTGACCGGCCGGGGACACTCCGGCGAGGCCCGGGAGACAGAATTCTCTTTTCTTCGCGTTGAGCATGGAATCGTCACCCGATTCTCAATTGGTACGTTCGAAGACTCAATTCTCAAATTTTTTTTTTTTGCATATAAAGCATCAATTGATTATTAAATTTAATTGTGTTATAAATGTCAACATTTAAATTTATGGGACATTTTAGTTAACTTCGAATAGGTATTTAATCGAAGGACTTTGACATTTATAGTCTTTTGTAAAAATAAATTCTCAACCTTTTTCTAGTATATTTCATTGAATTTTGTGATTAGTGGGTGATTTTGGTGTTATTGAGCGTATTTTTATTTATAGGCTTAAGAATTGGATAGATGCATACAAAACTTTGTTGATAGAGGAAAATTGTAGTTTTCGGTTTTAATTAAGGTTCAATATAATGAATTTTTAATTACTGTTGACAGCAGCTAGTTTTTTAGTTATTTTGGTTAAATTTGCTTAATGAGTAGCAAAGGCTTATAGTGTATTGAGTTACAAATTCAATTCGTGCTAAGAACTTGATTAGCTAGAGTAATACCTATTTAGTTACATGCTTAATAGATAATTAAATAGGAACGTTTCCTATAATCTTGCTTGCGTGAGGATAGTGATTCACGGATTATTAGTTGTTTCCATAAGAATTCTAGTTAATGTTTTGGTCAAAGAAATATGAATCACTAGTTTTCAGCATGTCAGACCATACAGTCATCCATTTTGTAGCATCTCGACTCGGTTCATTCGGGTTTACGGGTGGACCGGGAAGGGGTGTTACATGGATACTTTAAACCAGTGGAATGTGGTGGTTAAGTAAATGTTTATTTTCATTTATTTGTTATTTTATGTATGGGCTTAACCTTAGATAGCAAATCTTGGATTGTTAATAGCTAAAGTTTTGTATTGTGATTAAATATTTATACTATTACTAGATATGGAGGAAGGGAAATTAATTTATTTGATTGCCCGATGGATGGGTTGTGTGTGTAATGGTTGATGGATATAATATTGTGATATTTGAGCAGGTAAATAGTCCAATTTTTAGGGGAGGTGCTGCCGAAATTTCGGTAGAACTTAAACTAATTTTAATTGATAACATAACAAATAAGCTTATTTAGATAATTTTTACAATTCGATACATAATAAATAAAGTGCTTTAACTACCATATCATTATCTATCTTTATTATTCATTTATTAACCTATTTACATATTCATTTTATTTATTTTTATTATTGTTGTTAATTGCTTAATACTATTTATTTATCATTATGCCAATTGAATTTTGGATGTTTAATTGTGCATTGCTTACGATGTCCTAATTGTAATTGTCTGAATTTGGAATGCATGTTTGGGATTTTTGTGTTGTGAATAAATTGCCTTGTGCTTTGTTTGTGTGGAATTGGGATGAAGTGGGTCACCATGGGTTTTGTGGAGAACTGTTTTTCTGTTATCGGATCCTGATTCTGATTTCTGTTATAATGGATCCTGATTCTGTTTTCTGTAAGCCGGGTAAAATGGGAGATCGGCGCCCCCAGTGTGCACCTACTGTTACCGGTTACTGTTAACCACAGGTTGGCTTCTTTATTGGGCGCACCGGATAATCTAGATTTTGATCGCAGCCCCAGGGTGGCCTCCTGTTGTGAGCGCCTGATGATCTAGATTTGAATGGAGACGACCGGGTTGCCTCCTGTTGGTATGGAAAAAGAAAAAGAGAGATGGAAAGAGACAAATGAGAGGGCTGGTCAAGTTGAGGATTAGACCGGTCGGCCAGTATGGGATCGGCTCCCTGGTGCAACATGTGAGAGGATGAGCCATGCGGGAGGAACGGCTCATCGGGGGTTCGGTGACATCCACTCACTGATTAATTTCCACGTGATGTGATTATATGAAGATGTTAATAATTGTGAGTGCTGGTGATATGCCATTTGTGTGACTGACTGTGTGAGCATATACTTAGTCGGATGACTAGGTTGATATATTTATACAATTGTGTGAATGCGTGTGTTGTGCAATAATTATGATTCATTAATAAACTCTCACATCTCTTTTGTTCAAATCTTTCAGGAAGTAGCATTTTCTAAATCCCAGCTATAACTCTGCTCTTCACCGTTAAAAAAGAAATTCACTAATTTTAGTATTGATCAATTAAATAGATTAAATAGATTAAATTCCGAAGACTTATATGTATACATCCGTCAATGAACTCCGCAGTTATAGAATTTGTATACTTTTAAGTTGTGTATTATTATAGATGGAATAATTCTGTGAGCCTGTATTATTAAATATAGTGTATTGTAAGCAGGGAAATTTGTAAATGTTTAAAATTATATTGAGAGTAGTGTTTCAGGCTTACTACGGGCCTCGGAGGCCTTAAGCCTACCTGGGCCCTAGTGCCGGTCCGGCCCATGGAAATGGGTCGTGACACTAGTGCATTAGAGAAAGGAATATATGAACATATATAAAAATTCTTGAAACCGAAAAAGTGATCCAAAACAGTAATATATAATTATAGTTTTTTTCAATTTCATAAACACTTTTTCTTTCAAGTCAAATATATTTAGGATATAAAAGAAAAAATATCAAGAAAATTAAAAATACTTAATCAGGAGGCCATATATTTATTGCAAGGAGATACAAATTTTATTACTAAATTAAAGTGATAGTGGTTACAAATTAATTCAATAATGAAAAAAAAATAAAAAATAACAAATTTTTATTAAGAATAAAACTCTTTTATCAACGTATAACAAGAAATAAATTATATTAAAAAATTATCTAAATAAGTTAGGCTTACTACGGGCTTCGGAGGCCTTAAGCCCACCCAGGTCCTAGTGCCGGTCCGGCCCACGGAAATGGGTCGTGACATTTTATTAATATTTTTCTTTATGTTTATATGATTTGATTGAGTATAGTTTTTTAAAAACTAAAATTTTAAATATAATACATAATTAAACCTGTCAAAATTTTTACTTTATAATTTATTTTAAATAAAATAAACATATGCGTGATAATATTTATTGATAATATTTATATATCTATATATATTTGAAGCTTTTTTTGTTAGGCGAGTTCTTGAAATAATTTTATTCTTAATAATAATTTTTTATTTTCTTTTTCGTTATTGAATAATTTGTAACTATTATCATTTTAATTTAGTAAGATACTTATATATCCCTTACAATAAATAGATGACCTCTTCATGATTAAGAAATTTTAATTTTCTTGATATTTTTTTCTCTTATATCTTAAATCGGTTTAACTTGAAAGAAAATAATGGTTAGAAAATTGAAAAAAAAACTAAAATTATACATTTATATTTTGGATCATTTTTTAGATTGCAAAAAATTTGTGTACGTGCAAATATTATTTTCTCTAATACTGCTATTGTAGCCAAAATGATTACCGTTATCAGTTCAGTTTGAGATCACTTCATTATATAAAAATAAAATTAAGTATATAAGAAGTAATATTAACCGCTTGTATTTATTTTAATTTTAAACAAAAATTTATGTTTTAATATTAAATAGATAAAAACAAAGAATACAAAAATAAACATATAACGAGCACAGTCAACGTGCAAGGCAAGCCATACAAAACTGGTATATATAAAAGTTTGCCTATTAAATTCTGAAATTTGATTTTAATAATATCGTTTTATCGAAACAAATAGAATTTTATAAGAATAATAAAATACGGAAAATCAAACCATACCGCTAACCAGGCTGATCGAACCGAGCATAAACAATTGAAGTTTCCATTTGAATTAAACCGAACCAGTGAATTGAGCGCAACCAGATATAGACCAATTAAAACAGGAGAGAAAAACAACCAAGAAGGGTAAAGAGGCCAAAACTCCTCTACCGATCGTAGCACCGCGGTCTCCTGTTTTTCTTTCTCTTTGACCCAAAATCAGATAATCCATACAATTTCGGGTCCCAAGCCTCCATCTGATCTTCTTGGTTTCGTCGCTTCAGTTGATTGTTTCTTCTTGTTCGAAACTTTATTGCATTATACAATATAATTTCTACTCGCTGTCCTTGTCGCCCTCTTCAAAGTTGAAGAATTGGGTATGCTTTTTTTCTTTTAATTTTTATGTGGATGTGTATTTGTGTTTTTGTTGATTTTTTGATTTTCGTCTGGGTTTGTAGGAGTTTTGACTCTTCCATTGCGATTTCGATTGTTACTGTAAAGCTCGTGAGGCAGTTCTTTTGAAGCAATTCAGGTTTTTTTTTTTTTTTTTTTTTTTTTTTTTTTTTTTTTTGCTTTCATTTTGGCTTCCAATTCCTTTTTTTTTTTTTTTTTTTGGGGTTTTTTTTTTTTTTTTTTTTTTTTGGTTTTCGATTTATTGTGGTTTATTTCGACTGTGTTTTGCTGAATATTGATGAAATAAATCTTTAGATTACGTTGTCAGTTTTTCTGTCTGGTGGATGTTTGCTTTCTTTGTAATTGTGGAGCTTTTTACTGTCAGGGACATAAGTATTGGGTCGATCATGAATTAGGCTTGGCCATATCTGATAATGGATATTTGTGTTGATGATGGGTTATAATATTTGGAATTATAATTGAGTTCCATTAGGATACACAGATAATTTAGAAAATTGGTAATTTGGCAGCTTCCTTGCATTAATTTTTCCACATTGCTAGCTCCATTATCTTTATGCATTCAAGCTTTCTGTGAATCAAATTCTGACAAGAACGCAGCTGGACATTTATCAGATATGATGGTTGACTCGGATCCCATATGTGCTCGCCATCTTCATTTTTAATGCAGATTGCAAGTTATGAAATTTGTGAAGAAATTTAGGGAATGCAGTGGGCAGCAAATGCATTTCCATTTTCTTCCTCTTTCTTGCAAAAGAAGTGGAAAAAAACCATGAATGTACATTCATGCAATTGGCACTGTTAAAAGTTAGTCTTGGAAGTTATTATGTTGTTCAACTTATGGATGCAGTCATGATGACATTTTGAGTTCTTACCTGAATATGTTACTTTATGCATTGGTGGTGGAGAATTATTTTGTTCTTAATTTATTTCAATAGGTTGAATACATGCCATTTGTTTTACTACCATGCTGATTGCTAATCTATTTTCTGTTTTACAATGCTTTCTCAGCAGTTACTAGATGATTCATTGCTGTTAGTTGACAAAATGTTATTCTCATAATTGCACCAGTCTGACAAAATGTTGATCTGTGTGGTTTTGCATTGCCCCATGCATGCATCTGTGTGTCAGCTAGAACATTTCTTTATTCTGTTTTCTCTGCTCCTGCCAGGCACCTATTAATACAATCATTATTCTTTTATTTGAGTTACATAAGCTTCTTGACCCTCATGGTAGGATTACAGAAGCTCGTTAATTATTCTATTCTAATAGTTCAGTGTTAGAAAATTAGTTTAACATTAACTATTATAAATATACTCATACATCCATCCACACACATGTTTTGAGATTTTGTGAATTGGCAAGTCCTTGACGCTCCTAGATGGATAGATTGATTGGATTAGACTGATTTGGTTTTACATGCATGTGGCTGCATTTCTATAAAATATTCAAAGTAGGGGATGGCTTAAATGTGGGTTCCTGTTTTTGATTAAACTTGTTGGATAAGTTGTAATGTGTAGATTGTTTTCAAATCACAGCTATGCAGAGCCAGCTTCAGTGTAGTGGGTGTAGGAGCATTCTTCTTTATCCAAGAGGTGCAGCAAATGTCTGTTGTGCATTATGTAATACGGTTACCTCTGTCCCTCCTATAGGTACGCTTGTTTCCCACTTCATTTTCATATGGAGCTATTTATGGTTATTTTATACTTAATTAAATTGATAATTCACTTTATAGTTTTCCAACATGCTTGCATTAAGCTTAAAACTTCTACTGAGTTCATTGACATCTCTGTATAAAGAGTACTGTCTAAAATACTGAAAGTAGATTATTGAGATGCCGTAATTAATATTGCTTTTTGTGCCACCAAATTTTTTAGTTCATTTATTTTTCAATTGGTGATTAGCTACATTGGATGGTGTTGTGGATTGATTTCTTGGACTGAGCTTATGTTACAGCATGGTAGACAAGCTTAGATTCTCTTTTCCGAATTATGGAGTATTATATATAAATAGAGAGAATGGCCCAATGTTTTATTGAATTTGGGATGTGAAAATTTCAGATTGCCAGAAGGATAGTTATTTTGGGTTTGGAAAATAAGAATGCCTTGGTATGTACTAACTCAAGGCATGCACTAACTCAACCATAAACAAGCTCAGTAGGCTTTAAGTTTCGTGATTAGTTATTTTTTCTAGTGCCACTCTTGCAAGTCATTTTTTCAGTTTTTCTTTAAACAAGAAACTGACCTTTCATTTTTTTTTCTTTTTTTGTTTCCTGTATTTTGAAGAAAGGTTATATGTTTGATCATCCAAAGTAAGCTTTTAAAGGTGGAATCTGGAAAACTTGTATGTTGAACTTGAGAAAATAAAAATTTCTAGGGATAACGTTTTTCTTTTTATAGATGAATTATGAAACGCCTGGTCCTTTCTATTGTTTCTGTCTTTGAAGTTTTAAGTTCCAGATCTATCTCTGTACTGATGACCACTAAATTGAAGGCTTGTGTTGTAAACTCAAGAAATAAAAATGTAAAAGCTGAATTAAATTGCTTTTTTTGGATATATAAATGATGAAAATCCTGCTTCTTTGTGAGGTTTTAGGTGCTGTCATGCTGATATTGGTAAGCAGAATTGTAATGTGATGACTATTTGTTTACTTTTTGATTACAACTTATAGAGCCCATAGTTAATTTTTGAAACTTTTTACAATAATCAATTTCAAAACAACTATTGAGATTTTGCAACTTCTCTTTGAAGGTCTAAGCTCCAGATATAACTTTGTACAGATGACCACCAAATTGAGTGCTTGTGGAATAAACTCAAGAAATGAAAAAAATGAAAGTCAAATTAACTTCTTATTCTAATTCAAATATAATTTTAAGAAAGGATCTTTCCTTCCATTTTTCAAGAAGGATTTTTCTGGATCTATTTGACACTATAATTCTATACATATACATAACTTTGAATTATTTTTTCTCGATATATGTATGATGAAAATCCTGATTCTGTGAGAGGTTTTAGGTGTCGATATTGGCAATCAGAATTGTGATTAATGACTGTTTCTATATCATTTTGATTACAGCTTGTGAAACCCATGGGTAGTTGTAGAACCTTTTTAGATTAATCAATCTCAAAACAACTATTAAAATCTTGCAACTTGTGTTTTCAGGCCATGGTGATCTGTGCTATTCTTGTTTTGTGAATCCTGTGTATGTGCCAAAAATGATTAAGATGTTAACAAGGTTCACTCAAAAGGAGCCAGTGAATCTGGGACAAATCTCTTATTTTTTTAATAAAACTTCTACTGAGAACTTACATTTGCATCTAAGATTAAGAAGTAAAAGTTTAGTCATTAGCATTATCTTCCTTTACACCTAATTTCAAAATCTATGAGTATGAGGAAATTTTCTATCTCTATTCTTGAAGATTGGAACCTGAAATTAGGATTTTCACATTTGGGCTGCCCTTATTAAGCACCTAGGCAGGCAAGCAATGGTTTCTCAGTTTGCCTAGTTGGTAACGTTTTATATGCTATACCGTTGTTGACAATAAGCTTGAGAAGGGTGGCACTATTTGTTAATCATCATGCCTTTTAGCACATTTACATTGAAGGAAATTTGCATTTAGTAACAACCAGCTATGTCAAAAATTGGAACCAATTCATTTTAACTACTAGATGGTCAATCTTTGGATTTCTGTGTGAAATTAAGACTATTGAATAAGTCTGTAGAACTCGATAGAGTGATTGAACGGATTTAGGATGTTTTGTTCAGCTGCAGGGAACAGTTGATAGCTGATTGAATCCTGCAGCTGGAAAAGAGTTGCTAGGTAAAAAAGAATAAACAGTTTTTGTATGCGAGAGACGCTTAAGCCAATTTTCATTTTGAGCATTCTCTTACCAGCTGCTAGTTGTTGGACAAATTTATGGCCTATTGTTATCTAACAATCGGAAGCTTACCCTTTAGTCTACATAAATACATTACCTGTAACGTGATTAATTTTTTTAATTATGGCAATGATGAACTACTATGTCAACTAAGTTATCGACTTATTATGTGTAATTCTTTAATTAACAATTACATTTATATTTTTATGAAATGAAAACTATATGCATCTGTAGAAAACTTAGTTTCTATTAATTTATGCAACTGCTTAATATATATATATATGTTGGTTGTCAGCTATTAGCTGCCATCCATCAAAAGTACCAACAACTAAACCAAATGGGTCCCTTGGCTCCTATAATAGAAAAGGCTGAATGTTCAAAGCATTAGTTCTTTAAATCTGTTTTTTCTTTTTAAAAAATTTATTTTTGTGGATGGAGTGTCTGGAAACTAAAAAAAGCTTCAATTTATTATGTAGATAATTATAAATTATGAAGTATGAAACTTTATTTGAAGGTCATCTAAGGTTGCATGATACTTCTGCAGGCATGGAAATGGCTCAACTTATATGTGGAGGTTGCCGGACATTGCTTATGTATACACGTGGGGCAACAAGTGTGAGATGCTCTTGCTGCCACACTGTAAACCTTGCACCAGGTATAATATATAATTTGACATGTAAGATCTGTATCATCATCTCTTGGACTGCGGCCAATTTAGCTTGCAGACTTCACTGATTTAATCTGCATCATAACACATCAATTATAACTTGTTGCGTTGTGAAATGATGTGGGCTTATATTTATGTTGATGGAATTTCAATTACCTCTACAGCATAGAAATAAGTTCTCAGAGGATATTTTCCATTCAGTTTGATTAGTCAAAGTGAAAAATATAGAAGAACCAGTTGGAGGTGAATGTATCAGTCATCAAATTAGATAAGTAGCATCCGCTTTCTGAGATGAGAATGTTTATGACGGTCAATCTATTTCTTAAACTTCTCTTTTCCCTTCGTAATAAGAGTGCATTTTCTGGCAATTATAAGAAGAAAATTGAAGCGGAAATGTATGCAATTCAATTGCATCCCACCTTCAATGACCTCTTCCCTGTTTGCATTAAGTCCCCTTTGATGTGGTAAATGAAAGCTGGTTGATTAAATTCACTTGGTCGAATTTATTGAAAGAAACAAGCTTTTGGGAAATGGGCGCCATGCCATTTGATATATCATCTATGCATTTATTATACTGGGTCCATATTTTTCATTCTTGTACCAATGTATTTCTGGATGGCCTGCTTGGGTTTTGTTATAGTTTTCTAAATTTCGTCTCTCATTTCTTTTGGGGTATACTGATCTGTGTTGTCTTGGATTTTCTGGCTATGCATGAGAAAGCATCTGGACAGGTTGCTCACATCAACTGTGGAAACTGCCGGACAATGCTCATGTATCCGTATGGGGCTCCATCGGTCAAGTGTGCTCTCTGCCACTATGTTACTAATGTTAGTGTAAGTACTTTTTTGCATACTTTGTATGTGTTTTTGCTCAAGCTTTCAAATAAACTTCAATTTCACATGTTGATGTGAAGCACAATGTGGTGCATCAAAGTACATGCTTGCTCATAGATACAAGTAGCTTTCTAAAACTGAAGAAGTACAAATTTACATTTAAATTATAAGATAATTGGACTTAAATTGCATGTCTCTCATTTTACAATGTCCATGATTTCCTGTACCTTACTATCCGGTTGAGATATTTGAATCCTTATGTGTGCCTATGTAGGATAAACTAACTGAAGATAATTGACTAAATTCAATTCCTTGCCACCTGTAAATTTGAATTGCTGAAGATATATTCTAGGTTTTTGTTGCTAGGATTGGTGTAGGTATTAGAACTGTGCAGATTTGTCTGAAATCAAGATGTGGCTTATATGCATCACGAAATGCAATTTAAGGTAAATGTAGTCGGTGACATATATTGTCTCATTGATTGCCTGGCCTTTGGCATTTGTTATCTTAAGATCTTTGCCTGTTGGGGCCAAGATTTATTTGGTAAAAGTTGTATCGTGGAGGCAGCATGATGCTTAGAGGATTAATAGACAGCAACTTGCCACTTCTATACTTACAAAACTGACACACAACTAAAGTCACTTATTAAATTTTGATGCATTATTCAAGTGGAATAACCTATATTTATATTGTAAGATTAAATTTCAAGCTGACAGCCATTATACAGTGCATATGGATGATGAACAGAATTAATCTTCAATTGTCGCACACTCATAGGTTTTTGTTGCTATGATGACATAGATAGTTGACTTTTGCATAGATGTCTAAAATCAAGAATTGGTTTGTAAGGCATCATGAATCTAATTTAACAAAAAGATGTCATAAGTGGTCTATCTAGTCCCACTGATTGCCTGGCCTCTGGCTTATTTGAAGTTAAAATCGTTGCACATGGAGGAACAAACTTATTTAGAATGAAGTTGTGTGATGAAGATAACACTACTCTGGAAACTTTATGGGCATCGACTTTTTCTTTGTATTTGCAAATAAAATTTGTAAAATAACAATCAGGCAAGAGTTAAGCAACTGATTGTCACTGTTTATGTCCCTCAGGATCCTCTTAAATCTTGGCCATTGTTAGGTTCACTAAATTTCTTCCCCTCCTTTTCCTTTCCCATTGTCCCATTGCATTTGTATGTGCATTTCTTGGCATTTGTGCCAATTCAACACCTCCTTTATGCTAATGGGTAAAGGAAAAAATAAATTTGCTAGTTAGGAAAAAATTTTCCTTTTCTTTTGTAATTTGGGACATAAAATAAGATGTAAAGAAGTTGCAATGCTTCTTTGCTTGTAACTGACATCATGCTCAACTGTTTTTCAAATTCTCTTTGCTGGTGATACTATAATTTTTAACCTAAGCTTATTTTATGAAATCTTTTCCTTCATTTGACTTTGCAGCGTTGCCTTGTGTGCGTATATCTTTTACAGTTGGTCTTGATTTATTTGGGGTTTGTTTTCAATAGTAAGGATGTTAATGTTATGTCTTCTAACAAATTTGTCATTAACATTCCAATGGACATAACCTCCTTGAATGTTTGTTCAAACTTTTGTTTCAAGTTGTTTGATATAGAATGCAATTTAGAACACTGATCTTGAGTTCATTTCAAAGTTTTCCCTGTGGTAGATGTGAATCTTATGGTGATATCGGCGATATGGATAAGGAGTGTTTAATGTAGCCAGAATGTTTATTAATTTCCTGGAAATCCATCTATAGAGCTCTAGTTTAATATCTGTTTCCAGTTTCACTTTGCTCCTTGTCTCATGCTCTGATTAACTCTTAACACTTTTGCAATACAACTGACCCTCACGTGGCCTGCAATATAAAGTGCCTTGTTTGCTGGGAAATCATTTTCCTTTTCCTGTAAAGTCAACTACTTGGTATCATGTGTGAGTGAATTGGAAGATTCTCTGGTTGCTTTTGTCTTTTGAAAGGGAAAAGAAAGGCTCTTGAGTTCTCTGTTTGTTATTACTTCGGATTGCTTGCTCGAGTCAAGAGAAGCATTTTCAGTTTTCATTGTTATTGTAATTTCACTGATGAGTACTGTTTCTCCTGTTCTCTCTATGCTTTATTATACATGTTGCAGATGGCTAATGTAAGGGTTCCACTTCCGGCAAATAGACCCAATGGTGCAGCCGGAATGATATCATCTACTTCTACAGTGAGTAATCGACCTTTGCTGATCTTGTCCTTGTAGTAGATTTGGGTTGTTACGACTTATGCTTAATATTTCTGTTATTCTTCCTGGCAGCCAATGCCTCATTCTCAAACTCAAACTGTTGTTGTGGAAAACCCTATGTCTGTCGATGAAAGTGGCAAACTGGTAAAATTTAGCTCAAGACTTTCTTTTCTTAATTTACTCTTTTTTTTATGCAAAAATATATACTAATAATGAAAGCACCTGAATTTTGCAGGTTAGCAATGTTGTCGTTGGTGTAACGACAGAAAAAAAATAATGTGGTGAGATTTTGAGATCTTACTGTTCATATGGTAGGAAACAGTCAGATTGGTCGATATGGAAATTGATTGTGCATATTTTTGTTGGATATAGCTATGGTTAAGATTTATTTTATAAAACCATTGCAAATATATTAGCTCTTAAATAGAGAAATTCCAAAGTGGATGTACATTGTGAAGATTAGAACTGGAGTGATTATTGTTCTGGTCCACTTGTATTTGTTTGCTGCATATTTGTTTCTACCAGAGTGATTGTGCTTATTTTTTGAAAACACAATTACATATCTGAAAATGCCATTTTTTTCCAACACAAGTGAGGTTATGATACTTGGAGTTGTGAGCATTTTGTATTCTTAATTTGCGAAACTCTTGTTTGGTTATAAAGAATGAGAATTTGGCACAATTATGTTTAATTTCATAAAACTTTTGGTTTTATAAAATGAAAGAAATATTTTTATTTATACCAAATATTGAGAATATAAAATTTTAAATGAATTTTGGAAAATTTTGTGGAATTTGTAGCTATTAGTAATGTTATGTTCTAACTTTCCAATATGCTGTACTAAAGGAATTAAAAGCAATCCAGCATTGCCTACTAAATTTGCTGCTCTTTTATGACCTTTTAACCAAATTAAATGCACTACTTATCAGAATTGAATCCATTTGGTTTAATTTTCAATTAACAATACCGTTGCTCTCCTATTTGGACAAATTTTTGGGTATTGTTAGGTTTGAATTTTTTTTTATTTTCTTTTTTTTTTTTTGAATAAAAATGTTTTATATAAAATATTGTTAGTTAGATCTATATACTCTGTTTGTTTTTATCTTAATTTCATAATGGTTTGACAATTCTCCAATTAAACTATATATTGTTAAAAAATCTATATCAAAATCAAACTCTTTCTTTTGTTTGCACGACGTATCCATTTAAGGTCGTAAATGTATGGGAGCTCGACTCGATTAAATGAGTTAAGTTCGAGCTTAATATCTATTAAATCAAAATGATGTTGTTTTAATATAAATGTAATTAATTTAAATTTATTAAGCAACGAATTAAGTTCCGAGTTCAATATCTATCAAATTAATATGATATTGTTTAATGTAAATTTAATTAATTTAAACTTAACGAGCTAGTTTGTGAATTTGACTCATCTCAATAAAATTGAATTGCGAGGGTAAGTTTGGTTGATAAAGCTGACTCGAGCTAATAAGCTGAATGAGCTCAAGCAATTTAGCAGCTCTGCTCATTTAGAGTCCTAGTCGGGTAGCTCGGCTCATAAGTGAATCATGCTTTGGCGAAGATGATTATTTTAAGTTCTAACAAGCCTCTACCTTTATGGACAAAATTGGTTTAGAAATATAATTCACTTCCGCTAATATTATTCCACTTATTGAGCCTTCCAATAAATAAAAGAAAAAAATAGCAAAATACATAAATTTGCATCAGAATTTAACTTTGTCAGTGAAATTAAATTTCTATTGAATTTGTCTTTTTTTTTTTTCCAATAATTTTCAATATTTTCAATTATATGCTGCCTATCGGTAGGTAAACAGCTATAGAAACAAATCTGCCGGTATTAACAATGATGCACTTGGAATCGGCCGAACACTTTCAAGATCAAAATCTTAGTATATTTTTTATATAAAAGATAAGATGATGCAGATAAAAACTTGTTACGTTTTTTGCTGTTTTATGGTCAATGTTTTTGGTGTCAAAAAATAAATAAATAATTTACAAGTGTCTAGATTTCTTAATTTTTATTTATTTTATAATTTACAATATTACGGTGCTATTCAGCAAAATTAGCTGTTCTGGTGGTAACATTTAGCTGTTTTAGTAACTTTTCGTGGATGTTAAACGTTGTATGAATTAACTTTTTATAAAACGTTACCTTAATTTTTAAAAGCTAAATCAAATGTTATATTGCAAACACAATCTATCAAATACTTTTATTTTTTAAAATAAAAAAGAATATTTAATTCGAAATTGAAATTTAATTAATCCAAATTAAAAATCAGGTGTGTATAGTGGTCCTATATATAGGACAGGAGACCATTAATTTTCTCAACAGCCAAACCAACAGGAGAAAATGCAGAAGTAGATGGTTAGACCACCAAAAGGAATGGCTTCTTGGACTAAACAAATGATTTTGGTCATCCAGTTTTCCAATCTAACACTATATATATATAAAACACCCATTGCCTAATTAATCAGATTAATTACTAAAACCTAAATTAACCTCTCTCTCTCTCTCTCTCTCTATCTCGAAATCAGATATGGCTTTAGAAAATGGAAATCAAAAGGTTGAAGTTGGGTCCTCTTGCTCAAAGCCAATTAGGAATTATAATTGGGTTTTAATTGTGTTTAGGGTTTTTGCATTTATGGCCACTGCAGCTGCAACAATTGTGATGGGACTTAACAAAGAAACCAAAACAATTGTGGTTGCTACCGTTGGAAGTACTCCATTGACAGCCACTCTTACTGCCAAGTTTCAAGACACTCCAGCTTTTGTGTAAGCATTTCTCACTTTTGCTTCACAAATTCCTCATTTTCTGGTAGTTTAGAATTGAACCCGTGCTTTTAATTTATAATGTTAAGAAAAATAGAAAGTGTTTAGTTTTTTCTATTAAATCTCTGAGTATTTATTAAATTTCTGAAAGACGCGGTTTAAGATTTTAGAAGTTCTCATATCTTAAAATCTCATTTTTCAAAGACTAATGAGTTTCTTAGAGTTAATATTACTGGAGTTGTTTGAACTCTTGAGTCTTTCGTATGAGTTTAATTTCCTCTTTTGAATTAAAAAAAAAAATAATTTTGTATGAGTTAATTTTGGAAATGACTTTAATATTAGTATTAGGTCAAATCAAATTAAATTAATACAAACCAAAGAAATAAATAAATATAAGTTTTTTAACCGTACAAAACCAAACTGATTCGACTCAATTCAATTTTGATTACTTATAAACAAACAGATTTAGACTTATTTTTGGGTTTATCAAAAATGAAATTGAAAAAAAAAATTTCAATGTTCTCTGCCAAAACCAAAACAAAATCAAATAATAATAAGCAAAATATAAAATTGAATTGAACGAAATCAAATTGTTCCAAGTTTAGTAGTCTGGTTTTTCTAAATTCTACTAAGCCCTTGATTTTGGCAACATTGAACAAAAATTTATTGGTTAAAATTTTGTAATATATATATATATATATATAATATATATATATATATTTTTTCTCTTTTTTTTATAAAATAAGTTACCTCCTTAAATGTGATGATACAGGTTTCATATATAAAATAGTTAATCCTCCTTAAATGTGATGATACAGGTTCTTCGTGATAGCAAATGGAATAGCTACTATCCATAACTTGGTGATGATTGCAGCAGACATATGTGGAAAAAGGTTGGATTACAAAGGACTTCGCCTTGCCATTATTGCTATTTTGGATATGGTAATATAAATATATAAAGCTTTTTTTTTTTTCTCTTAAATTTAATTGCAATATATAATTTCTGTAACAAAAAATTTTGTATTTATTTTTGATTGAAATAAGTATGTTGACTTGCATACTAAGCGTAGTGTAGTGGTAAATGCATATACGATTTGACAATAGATCCAGGTTTAAATCTCCTCTCCATACTGAAAATGAGTAATATACTTTTAAACTAGCTTTTAACCTTAAACATTCTGTTTAACGCTTAACTTATTTTTTTTATTTTTTTTCAAATTGATCAAGTTAAACAGCTATTTTTACTGAACATTTCTAATTTCTAATAGCTAACAAGTAATAGAATAATTAAGACATACTACAACAATTAATAATCACTAAAATGATTAATATTACCGAAGAGACCCTTAAATTAATAAAATCAAGCCACTAACTTTTCTTATCATCTAGTTAAAAAAAAGGATCAATTTGATATTTTAGTTTGAAAATTCATATATAGCAAATAAATTGAGCATTATTATTTTTAATTTTTTGGTCAATTTTATGGATAAATATTCATAAATTAATTAGGTTGAAAATATTGGTATTTGTTTGGACACAGATGACAGTGGCTTTGGTAGCAGGAGGAGTGAATGCAGCAGTTTACATGGCAGAGTTGGGCAAAAATGGAAATTCACATGCAAGGTGGAATAAGATTTGTGATAAATTTGGGAAATTTTGTGACCATGGAGGTGGTGCCATTATTGCTTCCTTTGGTGGTCTTCTTTTCATGTTGATAATTTCAGTCATGTCTATTCTCAAACTTTTAAAGCCCAAATCTAATTGTGCAGTTAGTGCATCATTAGTCCCCTAATCTTCTCTTTTTTCAATACTTGACTGTGATAATGTGTTCCATTTAGGTATTAGTTGCTTAATGATGGTGTTTGGGTTTTGTACCCTAAGAAATTAGGGATTTGTCAAATCCTTTGTGTCCTAAGAAATTTGTAATTTGTCTTTTTGTGTAAATTTTCAATGTATGGAAGAAAAGGTTTTATGTATATACACTATATATATATATATTGATAGTAACAATTAATAAAATGAACCGAGCAATTAATAAAATGGATTGAGCGTTATTCAAACCAATTTAAATAGAGATAACGCTCGGTCAAATAGTCATTTAACTATATAAATAATGTCTAACATTTTGCTCGATATTTATAACCGAGATTATTGCCAGACATTTATTCTTTCGGTTATAATAGAAAAGATACTATAAATGTTTATATCTCATTCCATTAGAAGATATTATGTTCAATAACAATTTTTGAATATTTGTCTTTTATTTCTATCATACACACTTTACCCTAATTTAATCCCATTCAATTACAATAAATTACTAAGGCATTGCCCTAATTGAAAATCATGTCCTTTTTCAAAATTTTGATGTGCATAATTGGATTCCAATTGATTGATACCTAAATTGAATTTTATTGCTTAATTAATTGTGATTAAATTGATTCATATGTTCACAATACGTAATCACATATAATTTCAATTTGAATCACTTATGATGCTACGTAATCATTCGTATTATGCTATCTAATTGAATCTCATATGCCCCAATTGGATCTCATTCCACTAATACTTAATAAAATCTTATTTTTTAAAATTCATTTTCCTTTTTTTTAGAAATTGATTTATATATTTACAAGCAATTATATATAAATATAAATAGAATAGAAAAATCCATAAACTTTAATCATTAATGATAGCCTCTATATTGCGAATGTAAATAATATTTGTTAATTTATTGGTAATTTGATGTTGAGAGAAAAGACTTGCGAATGTAAACACTCGTAGAAAACTGGAGTAATTTTATAAACAAATTTTCTAAAAAAATTAAAAAATAGAGTTTTATATTTAAATTAGTCGGTTTTCTATTTGGAAAACTAGAAAATAATTTTCCAAAATTTAACTATTTCCTTTATAATAAATGATATATTTTCGGACCGTTTTTTTTTTTATAAAATGACATTTTTATAATTAAAGTTATAATATCTATAAATAATCTTTTCTATAAAATTTTTTCATTGAATAAATAAAAATATTTAAATAAATATTATAAATAATCTTTTCTATAAAATTTGTTTCATTAGAATAAATAAAATATTAAAATATGGTAGAAAACTAATATTATTCTTTAAATATATAATTAATTTTATTATACAATATATTATATGAATTTATCTTTAGAAAAATTTTAACAAAATGAATTACAAAATTGATATTTATTGATAAGTAATCAATAATAAAAATTCTAAAAAATTTTTAAAAAAAAAAGAAATTTTCTAAAATTTATTTTATAGTATTTTATTTTAATTAAATTAATTTTATTATTACAAATATATTATATGATTTATCTTTAAAAAATTTTACAAAATGATACAAATTGATATTATTATTATAAGTAATCAATAATAAAAATTCTAAAATTTTTAAAAAAGAAATTTCTAAAATTTATTTTATAGTATTTTATTTTAATTATGAAAGTCATTTTCTGATATTGTCGTCGTCAAAAAATTCAAATTAGAATCATAAGCTCCAAAGATAAGTTTACAAGTGTGTTAGTTCATCTTTTATAGGGCATAAGAAAATTAGTCAAATTATTTCATTTTTTTAATAAAAGAATAATCCGTAAAATCATCAACAGAGTTATTGCCAGTTTTTCAAGATAAAAAATATATAGGGAGTGGTGATATGTCATTTTATATCTTATTGTATTCATTTTCTGCACCTTTTTATCAATTTGTTACTTTTCTTTTATCAAATATAGAAAATTTTTAAACATAAAAATTATTTTATTCTGATTTTTACAAATATTATAATTATAATATACCATACTCGAAATTATATAATTTTAGATAAATTATATATTACATTTAAATTTATTTTAATTATTATAATTTAGAGAGCACATTGAGCTTTATTCTTATAAATTTGAGATAACTTATATAACTTCCGAGTAGGGTGGCCATTTCAGGGTTTTGAAACTGGAATTGCTGGTTCGGAATCGACGAGAATCAGAACCAAAACTGAAATCGAGGGTTTGTAGTTCGGTTTCAGTTTCAACTTTTGAGGAACCATGACTAGCGCTTCCAAGAACCAGTCAGAACTCGGTGATTCTAAGAACCGGTTGGAACTCGGCGGTTTTTTCAATTGATTAGAATCGGCGATTTTTCCAATTGGTCAGGACCAGTGATTTTTCCAACTGGTTGAACCAGCGGTTCCACCCAGTTCCAACAATTTTTTTTTATTTTTTCAAAAATTTTTGTGAAATCCTCAAATTAACCCTTCTAACAATTATATAACAGCTAATTTTAAGGGTATTTGTGGGAAGTTAATATTTTAGAATCAAACATGTTTATAAAAAAAATAAATTAATTTGAAGCCTTTTTCTAATAAAAAAGAAAAAATTCAAGCCTTTTTTTAACAAATAAATTAAATTAAGTCTTTTTATTAATTTTTCCTAAAGTTTTTTTTAAAAAATATTTCATATATGTTTAAATTTTAAATTTTCAACATAAAAAATGTTTTCTAATTTTTGATTTTATAATTACGCGATTTGCCGAAAAATCAATCCGAGAATCTGTCGGAACCATCAATTTTGAATCGTTAAGGAACCGGAATTAGAACCGTAACCGTTCGGTTCCAAATCGTAACCAAAATTGTAAATTTTTGATTCGATTCCGATTCTAAATTTTTTGAATAGAAACAATCGATTCGAAAATCAAAATTGACGATTCTAAAATCGAAATTGACGATTCCGAAACCGTGTGCATCCCTACTTCCGAGTCCTGCGATTCACGTGAGATTCTGAGAGAGCATATAAACTTAGGTTGAGAAAAGACAAACATAACATATGAAAATAAAAATCGAAATAAAAATGAAAATAAAAACAAAAAGTTGACTTATTCAATTGGTCTAAATTCTAGAAGGGGTGGGTTTTGGGTCCAGTCCAAATTGGAAGACACTTGGTAAAAAAGGCATCGGCAAGTTCTGGGCAAATCTATGACCGATAATTGACTTGAAAGCAAAAGTCAATTTGCAAAATCTCAAAATTTTTAACTTGTAGTAATACATTATCTTTGGTTCTATTAAATGTACAAATTAGGAAAGCAACTTTTTTTAACTGAACTAATTTTTAACTGAACTTAATTGAATTGTTTTGACCGGTTTGATTTTGATCATTAACCGAACCGAAGTTAAAGAAAATAAAAATTTAATTAATTGAAATTCGTGATTAACCAATTTTAATCGAAATTATTAATAGCTACTTAATTAAAATAAAAATAAAAATATTTTTAATTTTATTATTTACTTAATTAAAACGATGTAGTTTTGAGAGTTTGTTAACTTGATTAATTTGGTTAAGTTAGCTTTTAACCGAACCTTTAACTGATCACCAAAAAATTTTAAATTTATTTAATCGAACTTTTAATCGAATATTTATTCACCAAATCGATCGAATTGACTGAATTGGCCGAATTGACCGAACTGAATGCTCAGCCCTATTGGAGAAGGGGATTCAAACATAGATCTATTATCAGGTCGTACATGCACTTATCGTTAGGTTATGCCTTAGTGTGCAGGATAGCAACCAACTAATCGGAATGTTGATATTTAATATATAAAATATTTAAATTCAATTAAATTTTATTGGTTAAAAAAAAGACAATTTAATTTAATTAATTATATTAATATTCTATTTAATCTAAATTCTATTGAGTAAGGATAAATTGAAAGAAAATAAGAAATTCTTAACAGTGCACAAACAAATTATAAAACAATTCCTAGTTGAGAAGTTTTATACTTGATGGAATATATATATTTATCAAGGGCTAACCACAATTTGTGTATGAGACATAATTATATTTTATGGACTAAATAGTATATTTTACACAGAATTATGATAAAATTAGGAGATCTCATTTATAATACTCGGCTAATACTCAATTAATGGCTAATCACTCAAAATACATGTTCAACTGGTATTTCAAAATACATGTTCAATAAGGATTCCAACTATAATTCTAATCAAGATATTTCTATCTCTATATAAAGAGGATCAAACCTTCTATTTATTGTATTAATTTTAATTATTCTATAATGTTACCAGTATTATTCTTTAATTGTAATTCAATTTCAAATTCTCTAAATTTTATTTTATATTTATGTACAAAATGTTATAATTTTCAGTCTAATCATCGCTTTATATATTCAATCTTTAGCTTGTGCCTGCTCATATAAGTTGGTTTAAGGCTTCTTATTCCACTAAAGCAAAAACACTTTTTTACTCTTTCATATATAGTAGGATGTTTATTTTATTTAATTACTATTGTTTGTTTTTATAGAAAATCATTATTTTTTATAAAAAAAAATCATTATTATTATTTTTATTGTTGAGTGAATTTTTTATAATTTTATAACAAAATTAAATTTTATAAATTTTATTTGGTTTCTGGATTTATGAATATTTTTTATTTCAATTTTGTAGAAAAAAACATGAATACAAAAGAAATTCAAACGTATTAAATATTTTATTAATTATCAATTATGTTCAAATATTTTCTAATGAGAATAAAAATAATAATGAACATAATTTTTTGGTAAATAATAAAAATTATAAATTAAATAATAAGTACATATTACTAGGAGCAGCATGTGCAACACAAGTTCTTAAATACTAGTACACACAGAATCAGTAGATATTCATAATATAACTTCCGTGAATTAAATAATGAGTACCTACATTTAGAAGCAATGCACAAGTGAATATTACGTGGGTTGTTTTCGAGTGCCACAAATTACACTTTAAGCTTATTTGGTGCAACACATGTTTTTAAAAAATAGTGTGTATATACCCACACAATCAAAAAGTATTCCTGAGCCAATATTCATGTATTAGAATTAAATTTACTAGTCATGTTTGGTAATACCATCTATTGTATTCATTGTTAATTAAATATTAGAGGATAATATTTCATAATGTACCCTC